CTGAGTTGGATGATCAGCCATGATCATACTGCATGGCAGAGCAGGTTTTAAGGGCTGAATGGCCTACTCCTACTTTCTCTGTTTCTATATTACCATCATGCCACTCACCATCATGACTTGCAAATATACACTGATTCCTTCACTATCACTGGGTCAAAATCCTCAAGTTCCCTCCCTAATAGCATGGGGGTACTCAATACACATGGATTGCAACAATTCAAGAAGGCAGCTTATCACCACTTTCACAAGGATATGTCAGGTTGGGTAATAAATGCTTGCCTAGCCAGTGATGCCCACCCCATGAGTGATGAGTGAATAAAAAAAGGGCATAGACTGTATCTGTAGATAAACTAAGGAAAAAAAAAGTCAAAAATCTGTTCATACAGGGATATCAGTAGGCTCAAGATAGTGGTTAGCAAATTGGACTTGTGTTGCAGAGACAGGTGATCAAATACCACCAACTCAACTGAGGATTGTATATTCAATTAACTAAATAAATCTGCAACAAATAAAGTTAGTATTAGTAACATTTATCGCGAAATGACTATATTGTCATTAAAATGCATCTGTTTTACTGATGCTCTTTGGGAAAGAGGTTAGGTAAGGACAAAACAATCTGGCCTCTGTGACTCCAGCCCCACAGCAATGTAGCTGTACCTTAACTTCTTTCTGAAACCGCCTCACTAGTCATTTATTTTAATTCAAGGTGACAGTTCATCAACTCCTTCTCAAATGCAATTAACACTGATCTTGCCATTAATGCCCACATTCATTAAATGAATAGAAAAAAAAAATGCAGAATGCTTTACCACAATTGAATTTTAAGGCTTGACAGGATCATGATTACAGGGAATTGGTTATATACTTGAGGTAAAGGAATAGAAGAAATGATTTTACCATGTTCTGCCACATCTACATAACTCCAAGATTGCTGCACTCCTGCAACTACAATCTCTTACAAATCTCTACTTTTAATTGCTCTGCAACTGGCAGTGATGCTTTGAACTTCCTGGATCCCAAGATCCGAAATTTCTTCACTGAACCTCTGAGTATCTTGACCTCTGTGTCCTCCTTTAAGATGATCTATAAAACCTCTTTGAGCAAGCTTTTGGTCACCTTTCTTACCATCTCCTTATGCAGCTCAGTGTCAAATGTTGTTATAAAACACCTCCTGTGGAAAGGGTACCACCATTAATGTAGTGAAGTGCTGCAAAATAAATAACCTTAGTTGATTCAGGAAAGGGACAAAAAAGTAAAGGAAGTAGTCTCAAAAGAAAAGCTTGCATCAACACAAGCCTGCATAAGAAACTGAGTGATGGTTAGGAAGTAGCAGGTGCTCGGTAGAGTTGCTCAGTGCAACAAGAAAGAAATAATGAGTGGAGTACTATAAGTTTGCTGTTGAATCCATTACTGTTTATATACTTGGGTGGACGCACTCAACGAAAAGGCAGAACGTGACCTATTTTGATGCATAAAAGCAGCTGACAGTGAGTTAATATGGTAAAAGCGCAAGCAGGGGCATGCAAGAAAGAAAAAAGAATGAAAGAGATCTCTTTTGTGCAACTGTTCTAATGATTTAAGAGTTTTCACATGTTTCACTGCTGAATTCGGAAAGATACATAAATGCTAAATCTCCTATGGCATCCTGGACAGAGTATGTTCTGCAAAACACATTCAAAAGAACACTAGCATGGAAAATTTTGTCATTCATTAACCATATGTGAATTCACTATTGTTTAATAACATTCATTAGCGTCTGTAGCTTGGTTACAGAAATTACGTGAACACTGGTTACTTTACACATAAGTCAATTAAGAGCATGCAGACACTGTGGCTATAACATTTTCTATTGTTGGAGTGTCTACAATAAAGTTCCAAATGGCAACAATTTCTTCATTCTGACCTCTTCCAATATGACTCAAGTTTATGTAGCATGTGAGACAAGATAGGAAATACAACATATTGGGGTGACCTTGTAGAAGTCTGTAAAATCATCAGGCATTGGTAAGGTAGATACCCAACAGCTTTTTCCCCACGGTAGGGGAGTCTAAAACTAGAGGGCATAAGTTTAAAATCAGAGGCGAGAGATACAAAAGTATCTAGAGGGGTAATTTTCTCCCCCCCAAAGAGGGTGGTCAGTGTCGGAAATGGGCTGACAGAGGTAGAGGTGGTGGCAAGTGCTATTTAAGAAACGTTTGGACAGGTACATGGATGGGAAAGGTGTGGAGGGATATGGACCAAACACAGACAAATTGGACTAGTTTAACGGTGAAAACTGTGCAGCATGGACAAGTTAGGTCGAAGGGCCTACTCCATGCTGTAAACCTCTATGACTTTATATGGAAGATTTAAGTAAATACTTGCAAATCTCTTGTACAATTGCCTATAGTGTAAGAGTTTTCACTTTTATAACAAAAGCACATTATCAACAAATAGACTGTGAAAAGTGTTACAGGAAATAGGACAGCATGCCAAGATCACTACTTGTAACATTACAGACTTGCACAAGGTCTGTGTATAACTAAGTGTTTAGTAATATATTTCACACATGTACCCTTTATCTAAGTTGATAAGCAGAGGGGTTCAAATCTATTATAGGGTTTTGGTATAGTAAATAGGGGAATGTTTATCTCTGGCAGGCCAATCAGCAACCAGAGTGCACATATTTAATAAAATTGGCAGAAGAGCAAAGAATGAGACTTTTTTTCAAAAATACAAGCCCTTGTGATTTGGACTATGCTTCCTGAAAGGATAGTGGAAGCAGATTCAATAGTAACTTTTGAAATAAAATTGAACATACATTTAAAAAAGGGAATTTTCAGGTCAATGATAAAAGAGCCAAGGGTTGGAACAAAATAGATCTTCTAAACTGTCAGAAGCAGTAAAAAAAAAGGGCCAAATAGACTCATTCTGTGCTGTAGGATTCCAGAAGTCCAAGTTTCATATTCCCATTAGCCATCTTTGCTTAAACTAACTATGCCACAGACAGAAAGAACTGCAGATGCTGGCGTCAGAGATAACACAGGGTGGAGCTGGAGCTATGGAGCTACACAGCGCCAGGTAGCATCAGAGAAGCAGGCACGTTGACGTTTCAGATCGGGACCCTTCTTCAGAAAACCGAAAATCAACTTTCTTGCTCCTCTGATGCTGCCTGGCCTGCTGTGTTCCTCTACTAATGCCACATCAGTTTTCATTCTAAGTTCTTATTCTTATTTTCAAATCATTTCATGGTTTAGCTTAGTGATTTTCTCCTGCCTCTGCAACAGTAAACAGTCAACCCTCACTTCCACTGTTGATTGTTTAGCCACTACATATTCAGCGTCTTGAAGTTCCAAATCTGCCAGTTAAATCTCCACTTAAACTTCAGATTTCTTCAGGGACTTCTCACTTTTTTCCCTTTTTCCACTGCATGCTCAAGTGGTAATTGTAACCCCTTCTACTGTAAATATTTTTTCCACTACACAAGACATACTGTCAGGTTGTGCTGTCATAATTCTGATTATCCTACTTAACTTCACAATCAAGCCCAAAAATAAGATCAAGAGGAAATCTTACAACCCTTTGAATCTGTTTCACCATTCAATAAAATCTTCTGTTGCAATTTCATGCTTGCTCACTATATTCCTCAATTCAGGAGTCAATCTCCTTATTGCAGTTTTGAATACATTCAGTGATGCAGCTCCACAATCTTCTGAGGTAGAGATTCACAACCCTTTGAGTGAAGAAATTTCTCATCTTAGTTACAAATAGCCATCCACTTATTCTCAAACAGCCACCCCTTTTTTTGGCCAGGTATTAAGACAGTCATGGTCAGCACTGTCAAACTCTTTCGGAACCTTATATGTTTCAATGAGATGACTTCTAAATTCCAAAGAATATAGGTCCAATTTACTCAGCATCTCTTCATTGGAAAGTTCCCTAATAATTGACTAAACCTGTATTCTTGAAATCAACCTAGCATTCTCTCTACTGCCTCCAACAAAACATAATCCTTCTTTGACTAAAGTGACCAAATTGTACACAGCACTCCAGTTACAATCTTACCAAAGTCGGATTTAATTGCAGCAAGATGTCTGCAATTGCTATTCATTTTCAATGTGATATGTTTACCAAAATAATGATGGTTATTGACTGTCCAGTTGCATTCCACTTACTTCTGAATGAACATCTAGAATCTATATACAAGTTAGCTATTTATAGACGACTTAAATGCAAGAAGTTTACTATAAAAGGATCTGACCACAAGGACATTCTAAATGGTTACATTTATAGGCATTAACTCAACCTTTATAACATATAGTCTGCCTTAGTATCTAGATAACATGAAGAGGAGCAGGCACAAATTCTGACTTGACAGTTACAGCCATTTGCACGTGTTGTGGCTCGATTTGCATGAACGCTTCTAACATACCACTAGCTAAGGAGAATGCAATGACCGTAAAGTACGCCAAGAGGTTTGTAGATGCAACCGGAACTAATTCTGACCACGACTAGTTTACCACAAATCATACTTAGACTTATGAAGTGGACAATGATTAAGAAGTTATTGGTAAATAACTTCATATCTCCGCAGTGGTTGCTGGCTAGATGTAGTACCTACTCGAAGGAAAGCAAATATTGGCTAGGAAGCGGGCTTGTTGTAGTTACTTATACATGACCAGGTATCATTCTACTGATAGTAGGAACTGCCGATGCTGGAGAATCTGAGATAACACGGTGTAGAGCTGGATGAACAAAGCAGGCCAAGCAGCATCAGAGGAGCAGGAAGGCTGACGTTTCAGGTCGAGACCCGAAACATCAGCTATCATTCTACTGATATTGTCTGGAAACAACTGTATCATAAAGAGAACTTTACGACCTTTACGACTTCACTATGTGATTCCTGAAGTGTTGTATTGTCCAATTGGTCATATGTAGGAACGTCTCGGTCTACAAGTGGCCCATCATTAGATAACGGGGTGGGGGAATTGCTTTTGGCTGGAGCTGCAACGGACACTGACCTGGTGGCCCGGCCTGCGGCCTCCCGGTTATTTTCACGAACTGACTGAGAAGCAGCGGCTCCGACATCCCCACACAGCGGCCGGACCCGGCAGTGGCCGCCGAGCGACCCGACACCCGGGGGAAATAAACCCCCCCACCTCTACTCCCGCCCGCCTGCCTCAAAATTAAATTAAAATTAAGCCGGTAGTGCCCTGGCGCTGATCAGACTCAGACCCCGCCGCTGCCTCACGGACAAACTCCGGCTCACATCCCACTCTTCATCCTCCCCAACCCCCCCCCACAACTTGCACAACATAAACAGGCCGCCGCCACAGCCAATCACCAACTTACTCTTCACCAGCCCGCCCAATCGCCGCCCACCTTATTGTGAGGTGGGCCTATTAAGTGACAACCAATCGAGCTCCAAGTTAGCCCACTTCAAGGATCCGACCGCCCTCCCCCTTAACGGAGAGGCGATGTAAGCGAGCGCCGATGTAATCGTTCACATTGGCCTTGGAGCAAACGATTCGCGTCTTAGACCATCTCCCGTGGCTTTGCACGAAGGGGGATTTTGAGGGTTACGGTTAGGCACCTGTAAAGAAATAACTTGCATCTAGACAGCTCCCTTTCGTGGCCTCAGGACAACCCCAAAGCGCTTCACAGCCAATGAAGTGCCTTCGAAGTGTTGCCATTGTTGTAATCCAAGGAAACTTCAGCAGCAAAATGTCACACAGCAAGATCCCACAAACAGTAATGAGATCAATGATATTTATAGTGATATTAATTGAGGGATAAATATTGGTGAGGGCTCTTCTTCAACATAGTGCCTTAATTGACACCCTTTACTCCCATCTTAGACGGCAGACGAGATTTTGGACTAACATCTAAACCAATCGGAGCATTTTCGACACTGGAGCACTCCCTCCGTATAGTACAGAGCTATTAGTCTACATTGTGTGATTTGCTGGTGCAAAGACAAGGGCTACAGCTGACGTTTGAGTACTTGACAGGAATGACGACGAGGAGGGGGCGGGAAGGGGAACAGCTGCTTCTCTATGCCTGGAAAGAAAACTTGTATTGCTGCTCCTGAAAGAGTTTCGATAGACCTTCACTGCCTAGATTCAAACATGAATAATAGCCAGGTCATTGAGATGCTCGTATGATTGCGAAGTCAATTGAATATATTTCTGTAAGTTTCATTACATACCTCTAACTGATCCATCCCGATCACTGGACATCAAACAAATCAATCTTTATTACCACCATCTTCCCACATCAATAGCATGATTCCTGACTGCAACCCATTTTTTCTATCTACTTTTTTTATGCATAATAACTTAAAATGCTCAAAGAAAATGAACAAGAAATGTTATTTTTATAATGCTCCTATGATTTTCTTTCTCCTGTGTTACTCACAGCAATGCTGCGTGCTCAACAGGTTGCACACAGCTGGGAACTATGATAGCAGTTATTGCTCAGGGGTAGTCCTCTTGTTTCTGAGTCAGAACTCTGTTGGTTCAAGTCCTAGTGGGAAAAATGATAAAAATAACTCAAATACTACCTCTAGTGCAGTACTGCATGGAGCAGGTGGTGCTAATTTTGAAGTATCGGATGTGTTGTATTTCGGATGAGAGACCAACACTCCCTCTTCGGTTATGTGGAAGATTCTGTATTATTTTGCAAAAGAGTAGGGAGTAATACCGTCCTGGCAATTTTCCTCCCATAATCCATTTTACAGGTATAGATTATTTAGCGCACTCTCCCCTTGCCATTGATAGTAGTTTATTGATGGTTACTGCGCTTCTTAAATTACTACACTAGCACCACGTTGGATGCAAACGTTTTGGAACATCTCGTTGCTGTGAAAGTTGCTATGAAATCTACTTTGTTCAATTTTTATAGATCCCTTGGCAACTGAACGTGGGCGGCAGTTGATCCCTTGAGAGTGACTTAATCATGGAGACGACTTCACCGGAAAGGCAGAGAAAAAGAAACAAAATAGATAATGTCCTAAGAATTCTGCATCAAATTGGCGAATGAGGAATCCGATAACCCTATCGCCATACGGTTACTTTTTAGTGTAATTAAAACATTAATTTGGAATTAGGCAGTTATTGTAGTCAACATATTTAATTTGATGTCTCTCGTTGCTTTAGAAAATCTTCAAATGCATTTGTATCGATTTTTAATTTTGCTGTCAAGTTCATTTAGTTGTGGTTAAGGTTTGTGCTCCGGAACATTTGTACAATGCGCATTGTAGCCGTGGGACATTGAAACCTGCCGGGTCAAAGATGGCAGCTACCGGTAGCAATGGCGATTTTACATCGCCCAACAGCAAAAGTGTGGCCGAGACTCCACAAAAAGTGCGGCAGCTGCTGTCAGACAGCATTGCCGAGATGTAAGTCCTGAGGCTCGATTCAGTTTTGATTCTTTCACGGAATTTGTTGCGCGGAAACCGCCCCCTCTCAGATATGGAGCCTGAATGACTGTGAACATCATGGGGCTCGGTCTTATTTACCTATCGTGCTGGATTTCTTTTGAGGGGATTGAGTTTCACAAAAATTATTCAGGATAATAATCGTCTTTCTAATAGTTACTAAAGTCTTCGAGAGTGGTGGAGTCAGATCTCCGATCCCACCCCAGATGCAACAGGTTCGCCTCTAATTTAAACGTTTACAGTTCAAGACCCACTCCAGAGATTTGTGCACGTAATGCTTGTAATTCTGGACATAATCCAGCATTGTAATTATTCAGTGTCAGTTTAAGAGTACTGTGGTGATGTCTGGTTTTCCCCTGCTTTGTTCTCTTGACCAGCAAGGAGAACTCTGCCTTTTTTTTTAACAAAATAAGGCTGTAGGATCTTTTATGCTCACATGAACCAGACATGGCCTTTTGTTTAAGGCAGAGCTTCCAGAAGTGGCGTCATGAGCTACAAGGCAGGATGGCCACCATTGACAGAGTTGTAAAAGCTGCTTTCACAAACGTACAGCCCTTGTCCCTGATCCTGCTCTCTCTTGTCTCATTGACGAGTCACAACAATTTCAAGCCTTGAAAAGGGTGACAGTGGGAAGAAAATTGAAATCACTGATTTAAAGGTACCTCTAAAAGATATCACCTTCGGAGGTGCAGAGCTTTCTTAGTACCGCACTGCAGCGTCAGCTTGTTTTCTATGTTTAAGTCTTAAGAGTGGGACATTAATCCTCAATGTACTGACAAGAATGTCACCCACTAAGACAAAGTTGATACTAACTTACCTCATCTTGACCACAAAAAATAAACAAAAGTTATTGTTATTGCTGAGATCGTCAAATGACCAGCAATGGAGCTTTTCAATGAAACTTGAACAACAGTGTGTTGGTAACTGATTATTATCTTTTGTTTTAATAGTGATCAGATCAGCTCTATCCCTGAATCACCTAATGACAATGATTTACCCAGATCACCAGTATCCTGTGATTCTGCTAATAAAGAAGCTTTCTTTTCACGAGTTGAAACTTTCACAATATCCTTCACTGTTGTCACCAAATCAAAGTCGTGAGCAAACAAAATCTCTGTGCTAAGTATTATGGCGTGCAAACTCCTGATTGTACTATTATAGAGTCCATCTTTCTATGTTTGCAAAGTGCTGGTGGTTATTAGTGCCTATGAGAGTTCTTTGTGTTGTTGAATTCACAATTGGATGTCACAGTACTGCAGAGCTGAGATCTGATTCATTGGTTGTGGGATCACATAGTTCTGTTGATCACTTGTTGCTTATGCTGCTTGGCATTCAAGTAATCCTGTACTGTAGCTTTACCAGGTAGACGTCTAATTTTTAGGTGCACCTGGTGCTGGTCCTGGCATGCCCTCCTGCACTCTTCATTGAACGGGGGTTGAAATTGCAATGATAGAATGGGGGATATGCCAGGTCATGAAGTTGCAGATTGTGGAGTACAATTCTGTTGCTGCTGATGGCCCACAGAATGTCATGGATGCCCAGTGCCCAGAAACCAAAGCACCCAGGGGAAACCCATGCAGACAAGGGAAGAATGTCTCTGTAGTGTTTGTACAGTCACCCGAGGTGGAATCAAACCCGAGTCCCTGGCGCTGTGAGACAGCAGTTTGAGCTGATGGATGTATTGGACAAGAAGTGTATTTACGCAGTGTTAATGCTTTGACCTAAATGTGATATGTGTCTTGAGCCCTTGGTTCAGCGGAGTGGAGGAGGCTTGTTTGAAGCCTAAACATGCAATAGACCAGTTACAGTAAATACCTGTTTCTACACTGTTAATCCTAATCATTGGTTTTGGAAGGAGTGCAGCATAAATTAATAAAAATTATAACTAGACTTCGAGGGTAAAATTAAGAGGGAGATTATACAAATTTAAGATTAAATCCATGGAATTTAGCTGCTTAAAGCGTGATTTGCTCAAAGGTTTCAAGATATTAAGGAGAACCAATAGGAAGATAGATAAAAGAGGAAAGCATTTCTGTGCTTGGAAAATCCAGGACTGGGAACATAGCCTACAATGTTATAACCATGCCTTTCAGCTGTGAGTTGGGAAACAGTTCTTCAAGGGGGAAGGATTGCCATGTGCTTCTCCCATTCTGCATATATTTGAGGCCATTTATTCAAAGAGAAACAGGGAAAAATACGTCTTGTACAGGAAATACGTATTGTACAGGAATGAGTGGTCTCTGAGTGTTTTCCTTTGACAAAGATACTCATTCAACTGGGCTGGGATGCCGTTTGAACTCTCGCCGTTGCAGTGTGCGAAATATGGTTGGACCAACATAGAGTGTGACATGCTGAAGTGTTGCAGTTGTCAGGCATTCCTCTGCACTACTCTGCATCCAACCCTGGACGCTGGTAGATGTAAGTTTTTTTTAACGTTTTTTTTAAACTCAATTTGTTCCTTCCTTCACACCTCATCCTGGCTTATGTCTATCTTGAAGACTTCTAACTCTGTTGTTTAAAGCCTGGGCCAAGTGCAGATTAGGGAATACTTGGATCAGATTTCCTTGTCAATGCATTGCAAACTGATGTCTTACAGGTCCTCTTCCCAAATTACATAGAGTTCACAAAACAGAAACAACCGGTTCATGCTCCACACTAGCTCTCCTTGCAATCTGTCAGCGTAAAGTCCTATTCCTTTCTCTCTCTCATGTTTATCTAGCTTCCTGTTACATTCATCAGTGCGATCACCTGAACCAGTCCTAGTGATGGCATGTTCCACATTCCAACCTCTCTCTGTGTGATGAAATTTCTTCTGAATTTCTCGTTGGTTTTCTAGTCACTCTTTAATATTTATGACTCGTAATTCTGGAATCCTCTGCAATTGGAAACAATTCTACCTTGTTACACTACTTCATAATCTTAAAGACCCTTTCTTGACAAAAGCACTTAAAATACTAGGGTATAGTAGGTTGTGGACCAAGTGCAGATAAATGGCTTGTATAGTTTGGTGTTTGGTGTTTGTTGGTCGGCATAGACATGGTTGGTTGAAGGGCCTGTTTCTTTGCTGTATGACTCTATAACTCTCTATTAAAAGATCCCTGGCCTGTTAAATCTTTCTTGGCAAGTATGATCTCTCAGGGCTGGTACAAAGCCTTAAGTACTTTTGCCAGAGATAAGAACGTGTAGAGCTGGATGAACACAGGCCAAGCAGCATCATAGGAGCAGGAAGGCTGACGTTTCGGGCCTAGACCCTTCATCAGAAATGGGGGAGGGGAAGGGGGTTCTGAAATAAATAGGGAGAGAGCGGGAGGTGGATAGAAGATGGATAGAGGAGAAGATAGGTGGAGAGGAAACAGACAGGTCAAAGAGGCGGGGATGGAGCCAGTAAAGGTGAGTGGAGGTGGGGAGGTGGGGAGGAGATAGGTCAGTCCGGGGAGGAGATAGGTCAGTCCGGGGAGGACGGACAGGTCAAGGGAGCGGGATGAGGTTAGTAGGTAGGAAATGGGGGTGCGGCTTGAGGTGGGAGGAGGGGATAGGTGGGAGGAAGAACAGGTTGGGGAGGCGGGGACGAGCTGGGCTGGTTTTGGGATGCGGTAGGGGAGATTTATTGCGGACCCCACCACCAAAGACGTTTTTCCTCACACCCTTATCTGCTTTCCGGAGGGACCACTCTCTCCGTGACTCCCTTGTCCGCTCCACACTCCCCTCCAGCTCCACCACACCCGGCACTTTTCCCTGCAACCGCAGGAAGTGCTACACCTGCCCCCACACCTCCCCACTCACCCCCATCCCAGGCTCCAAGACGAATTTCCACATCAAGCTGATGTTCACCTGCACATCTGCCAATGTGGTATACTGCATCCGCTGTACCCGTTGTGGCCTCCTATACATCGGGGAAACCAAGCGGAGGCTCGGAGACCGCTTTGCAGAACACCTACGCTCGGTTCGCAATAAACAACTGCACCTCCCAGTCGCGAACCATTTCAACTCCCCCTCCCATTCCTCAGACGACATGTCCATCCTGGGCCTCCTGCAGTGCCACAATGATGCCACCCGAAGGTTGCAGGAACAGCAACTCATATTCCGCTTGGGAACCCTGCAGCCCAATGGTATCAATACAAGCTTCAAAATCTCCCCTCCCCCTACCGCATCCCAAAACCAGCCCAGCTCGTCCCCGCCTCTCTAACCTGTTCTTCCTCCCACCTATCCCCTCCTCCCACCTCAAGCCGCACCCCCATTTCCTTCCTACCTACCCGCCCCCTTGACCTGTCCGTCCTCCCTGGACTGACCTATCTCCTCCCTACCTCCCCACCTACACTCACCTTTACTGGCTCCATCCCCGCTTCTTTGACCCGTCTGTTTCCTCTCCACCTATCTTCTCCTCTATCCATCTTCTATCTGCCTCTCCCTCTCTCCCTATTTATTTCAGAACCTCTTCCCCTCCCCCATTTCTGATGAAGGGTCTAGGCCCGAAACGTCAGCCTTCCTGCTCCTCTGATGCTGCTTGGCCTGCTGTGTTCATCCAGCTCTACACCTTCTTATCTCAGATTCTCCAGCATCTGCAGTTCCTACTATCTCTAGTACTTTTGCCACTTCCTCTATGTTTAAGCACTGTGCATAATACATTTTTTTGCCTCTCTCCTAACATCCCTCATTCCTTACTGTCTCTAAGAAGAGGTCCGTTTTGAGCCCATTTGCACTGTCCCGCATCCATGTCCTGCCTTGGTAATTTAATTCATCTTTCCGCTATTTTTTGAGTAGCAGAGTTCCTACAACCTGATTTCACGCTATCACTCTGAGAATCTGGCATTTGAACCTTCCTAATCCCCCTGTGATTGGTTTGCCTTCATTGGGTTGAAGCTGTTGAGGGGATTTATTTCCTTTTTCTTAAAATCTGCTACATTTGTGTGTTTATGAATTTATCTTCAGATAAAGAGAGGGTCGCTGCACTGCAAGAAGGATTGAAAACAGCACATGAGAAGTTCTGCTTTTGGCCTGACAACCCCTGTCCAGGTGAGATGGGAATAAATGTATCAGATTTTTTTAGGTTACTCGAGGTGTAATTGAGGCTTTATATCTGCAACCCATCATTTTCGTTTTTGCTTCATTAATTATTAACAGCTTATCATTGAAATGTCTGTGGTTGTTCAACGGGAGATTGGGAATGGTGTGGGTTTGGGAACGGTGCTTATTATGTGGCTGAACTCCAAGTAAGAGAAAGTCACAAACAAAAAAATGCTCTTAAAATATTCTTTTAGTTGTTCCTTGTTTTGCCTAAAAATCTCTGTGGAAGCAGATCAATCCATACTTTTCATTGCATCCTCTCCACTGATCCAGCACATGCGCATGCACGTGTGAACGATAAGTAACATGGGACCTGATTGACAGAGTTTGTCCTGTGTAGAGGATTCATTTGTTCTTTGCTTTGCACCTGGCAGATCGATTCTGGGCATTACCTTTGAATGAACCGGCAGCCCTTCTGCATGGAGTGACCGAGCGGTTCAAGAGTCTTTGTTCACTGGACTTCCAGTTACCTGCCATCAAACATGACGACCTCAAAGAAATGGTAAGTCCTATAAATTGGCTCTACTTCCTGACTTTTTGCTGGGTTACAGTATCACAGGTATTCGGCTTCCCTTCACAGAGATGGCTTCGCCTCTTCCTTATCCCTACCTCTTCCCCACTCTCTTGTCTAGATCTGTCCAACACTATAATGATCAAAATACAGTACAGGATATGTCTGCCATTGGAAGCTGAAGGTGACTGAACACAGAGTCTAAATAGTTTGGAAGAATTACCATGTAGGATCAAAAGCAGGGATAAGAAACATATTTCAAGCAAAATCAAAATTCCCTTTGAAGCTTTTTAAATAATGAATTTTTTTTTCATTGAGAGGAAATGGACAAAAGTAAAATAATACACAAACCTAGCGTATTGCAATTATGTGAGGGCAGTGGTTTGAGTGTGATAAGGCAGAATTTAGCTGTCGGGCAAGATGTAGAATGGAGCTGATGAGATACCCAATAGTTCTTAGGTCCTGGGAAAAGAAGAGGCAGGAATAGGAGAGACTGTGATGAGCCTTATTTTGACACAGAAAGTACAGAGATGATGAAATCTTTAGTGTGAAAAGAATAAGCTTTTCTCCCTTGACAGTCATGGGACTCTGCACCAGCACATTCAGGAGGAATGGGCAGGCAGATAGTGCTTGCTGTTCTTGCTATAGCTTTTGCCACGAAGTTTCGTCAACTTCCTCGTTTTATTCAGTGAAATCCCTGTGTACGGATCACAGTTTACTAGTCTTCTGTTTTACATTTCTCTGTTATTAAGCCAGCCATTGCATATCTGTGATCCTTTCCTAACCCTGGATTAGACTATGGGAGTTGCAAATCCATTGATCATGTGACTAACACCTGGTTACTGATATTGATTAAGTGCTGATCATTAAGTAAGTGAATCCATGACTTTTTTTTTTTGTCTTTTGAACAGACCATCACAGAGGAAACTATCAGTTCAATATTGCAGTTGGTTGAAGATGAACTGACGTGTGGCACTCTGTCTGAAAGTCCTGGGCTAAAGAGCAGTACAGATGTCCTTTCCGTCCATCTTTCTGCCTGTATCCTTGCACTGTCTGGCTGGACTGCTGGGTAAGAATCCAAAGTAAATTAGCAATTTTCCACATTGTCACGAACCTACTGCATAAATCTTCCCCTGCCTCCTTCACCATGTTCCTCTTCTGAAAGTACTGACTCATACAGGGGTACAGTTTCATGCATATTGGCCTTGTATTCACAGGGTCATTCAGTTAGCTGGAGGGTTATGAAACTGTTGACCATGGTCGGGGGTTGCAGCTTCAAAACCAAACCTCATCTTTCTTTCCCCTAACCCTTGCACAGGCAAGGAATAAAATGAATGATCAGTTCTCTCCTTATTCCCATTGCACTTTCAAACCTCTTCTCTCTTTCCCCCAACACTGCCCCATAAGACATTGATGCCTGCTGGGATGCAATTCTTTCATCTCCTTTAATCACTATACTTCATGACCGCAACCAGACAGAGGTGTGCTGTTTGTTTGCTTCTTGGAGAATAACAAATCCTGACTATCACCTGCACCATTTCTCCTGCACGGAGGGTGGCAAGGGTGCAAAATGTACTCTTTGTAGGGTTCTTCAATGTCTCTCTCATGACTGGCTAAGCAGCACCACTACTAATTGGACTGGCCAAGTCTTGAAGGATGTAGCTGCTGGACTGAAGCTGCAGCAGCTGACGAAGGAACCAACAAGAAGAAAATTATCTACTTGACCTCATATTTCCCAGTGTCACAGGTGCAACTGTCCATGACAGAATCAGTGGGAGTCACCACTGCCCAGTCCTGTGGAGATGAAGTCCTGTATTCTCATTGAGGATGCCTTCGATTGAGTTTTATGGCACTACCACTGTGCTAAAAATGGGAACGGCTTTGAACAGATGTAGCAACTCAAAACTTTGCATGCGTGAAATGCTACGGACCGTCAGTTTTGTAGGCTCACCTCATGTTGAATTTGTATGTATTGACTGCTGTGGAGGGAGTTATTGAAAATCAGACCTCTGCTGATGTCTGATGTACGCTTATGGACAGCCCATGAATCCCAGGGTCCTCCACACGTCACAACAATGCCATGACTTTGGAAGTAAAGTTGGTACTCAGCCCTGCAACTGCTCCACCTCCAGGCAAATTGTGAAATTTGTGATCATTGATGCAGGTTCGGGAAAGGAGAAGCAGCCAGGACCTTCAGTCAGGAACTGGAGTCAAAAGCTGTACAAACTAGATCGGGGAGTGCTGTAGAGCTGTCAGTTTTCTCAACAGTGACCAGGAGGATCAAGCACGATATACGGGAAACAGACAGTCATTCTAGAAGAAAGTAACCCATGACACAAGTGACAAATTAGTTTTCTCTTTTGTATTCTAAGGTTTTATTTTCTTGATGAGGTGAGTTTATAAAATGTTCAAAAGAAAAGAGAATGAGTCTTTAAGCTGATTAAGAAAGAAATCCTGTGCACATTTCAAAAGGAGTGGCTTTCCAAGATCATAGAGACTGAAAGGACATCTTTAACACAGAAACAACGTATGAATAAGTGAGATTTTCTCTAATTATGAGACAGCTGAAAGCAAAGGTGGAATTTTACAAATGCTTACTGAAACACTAGGAGATCGTGAGGAGGACAGAGCATTCAGGGTACAATATGTTGAAAGTTTTCTTTGATTATGTCATACTTGCAGTAAAGATGAAAACATCCATGCTTTCAGTACAAGATATTAATGATCGTGTGGTGAAGACATTGCAATTACTCAGAGCTGCACAACAAGAATTGTGACTTTAAATTTGTGGAATGTACCGGCTTCATCGTACAGAGACAATTTCTGGATGAATTGGGAAAATTTCATTTTCACATGTTGGCAGTGGCCAAAAACAACAGCCATTTCAATCCAAAAAAATGTGGATTTAGTACATTGTTTTGACCAGAATCTGAACTTGCTTATAAGACTGCCTTTGCAGGAATTTTGAAACTGACCACTTGTGATAGTGTCTCCATTGTGAAAGTAATTGAGCAGTTTTATGTTAATGGTGCCATGATTTACACAAGATGGTGATGTCTACATCAGATGGAGCTTTGTTATGCTCGGAAAGAAAAATGGAGCAGCGCCAGTCTTGCAGTGTGAAATCAGAACATTTGTTGAAACTGCATGGCATTGCTGACAGAAGATCTGGGAACAGATGATGCTTGGTGTCAATGAGTGCACTAATGCAAAGTCATGATATCTTGGTCAAGTACTGCATAGAGCAAGTGAGCAAGTACAACAATCCAATACACACACATTGCGTGAAGATGTTGACAAAGTCACAGTATTGCGTTGCATTGATTGCCCTGCATGATGTTCTAGATGAACTGTCATTACTGTGCAAATTCTTGCAGAGAAGATGTTTGACAGTAGTTGGAGCCATGCAATTTGTAAAGGTCAAGATCAATAATCTGAAGACTCAGCTGTAGGTGAACCTGTTTATTGGAATGATGAATTTAAGATTGTTCTGGCTGCTCTCAACAGTGCCATAATCCTTCAATTTACTCAATTTGTATGTGACCACCTGGAAAGCAGATTTGCAGAAGAGGAATTACTGGAATGGCATGTATTTGATCAGGCTGCAATTGCTAAGACAACCAATTATGAATTTGGAAAAGACAGCCTTGTGTGACTGAAAGCAAAATATTCCATTTTTTTAATCAAACAATGATGAAAGTGTGGCTGCAAAGGTTTGTGAACAACACTCCGATTTCAGATTTATAGTAGTGAAAGAAGTCAAGACGGGTTACGTTCAACCATTCAGTGATTTGGTGGAGAATGCTCTAAAGCAATCAGTTTCAAGAAACGTCCATTCTTTTGGACATTTGAGCAACATTTCAGGCATCAAGTGCTGACTGTGAGCATGGATTTAGCCTTGTGTAAATCCAAAAGTAGATTGCTTGGACAACTTAAAAACTTGTTGAAAACTTGCAAATTAAGTTGTACTTTCATCTGAATAAAATATCGGTCTGGGTGCAGTATACAACCATTGGGCAACAAATATAGGCACAAAAAGCTGCCAAGAAAGAAATGAATAAATTACCAGTGACCTCTTTTAGTCACATTGTATACGTAGTCAACACTAAACAGGTCCCCAGACTTCTGAGCTGAACAAACAGTTGTTTATTGTAGCGGGCAGAATACCTGTAACTATAAAATAATATAAATGCACACTTTTAATGGTTAATAAACAAACTGTAATTAAAAATTGCAATATGAGTTCCGCTAAAGGATGCAATGTGCTGCTCAGACTACTCCAAGTTCTGCACATTAAAGGGAAAAATCAGAGAGAACACTGGCCATCCGCAGCAGCAGAATTGTATTCAACTACAGCCTGTTAATTTGTGACCCCCTCATATCATCACTGGTAAATGAAGAGGTAAAGACAGGAGCAGCACCAGAAATACCTTAGAATGAGTTGTCAGCCTGGTAAAGCTATAGGAAAGAACAACTTGCATGTCAAAACACAGAGCAGCATGCAATAGACAAGGCTAAGCAATCCCATAACCAACAATAGATCTAACCTCTGCAGCCATTTCATATCCAGTCATAAATGGTGGTGCACAATTTAAAATAAATGATAGGATGGGGAAGTTCCACAAATGTGACTTTCTTTAATTATTGGAGGGGAGCCCAGCGCATTTGTGGAAATGATGAAGACTGAAGTATTTGCACCTATCTTCAAAAGTGCTAAATGGATGAGTCATTCCATGTGATATCATGAAACAGCTGAAGACACTGCATATTGTAAACGCAATGGGCACTGACAACATTCCAATAGTACTGAAGGTGTGTGCTCCAGAACTAGCCATACTACTAATCAAGCTGTTCACCAGTATAGCTTCAACAATGGCATGTACCCAATAATTGTCCAAACATGTCCTATCCACCAAAAGCAAGACAAATCCAACCCAGCATTAGTGCCTTATCAGTCAACTTCCGATCATCAACAAAATATTGGAAGGGGTCATTGACAGTGCTGTCAAGTGGCATTTGTGAGGGAATAACCTGCTGACTGGTTGGGTTTTGCTAGGGCCATTCAGCTTCTAACCTCATTAGAGCCTTGGTCCAAATATGGACCACAGATCTGACCTCCAGAGGTGAGGTGAAATGAAAATAACTGCCCTTGAAATGAAAATAGCATTCAATTGAATATAACCTCAAGGGGCCCTAGAAAAATTGGAGTAAATGGGAATCTGGGAAGGGTTGGGGGATCTTTGTCATGCTTGGAGTGTTACCTAGCACAAAGGAAGGTGATTATGTTGTTGGAGAGCAGTCACCTCAGCCCCAGATCATCACTGCAGGAGTTCCTCCGGAATGTCCTAGGTCCAACCATCCTCAGCAATTTCATCAATGGTCTTCCCATCAGAAGTGGGGATGTTCTCTGATTCAATAACATTAAGCACTTTTCACAATTCTTCAGACATTGAAGCAGTGCATATTTGTATGCAGTGAAACCTGGACAACATCCAGGCTTGGGCTTAGAAGTAGCAAGTAACATTTGCGCTGCAGAAGTGCTAGGCATTGACCAGCTCCAACAATAGAGAAACTAACCATCACCCTTTGATGTTCAATGCCATTACCATTGTTGAATCCCCACTATCAACATCCTGGGGGTTACCATGACCAGAAAGGGAACTAGAACAGTTATCTAATTACCATGGCTACAAGAGCAGGACAGAGCTTGGGAGTTCCGCAGTGAGTAACTTACCTGTCTCTGACTCAGTGCTTGTCCACCATCTATAAGGCATAAATCAGGAGTGTGATGGAATATTCTGCATTTACCTGGATAAGAGCAGCTCTAACAGCACTCAAGAAGCTTAAAATCATATAGGACAAAGCAGCCCACTTCATTGGCACCTATCCACTGCGTTTAATATTCAATCCCATCACCACAGTGGTAGAGCGTATATCATCTACAAGATGGTGCATCATCAAACTGAGCAACTCGGGAGGGAAGATGGGAGTGGGGTGGAAATGGGCTCCCTTCCACTGCACTTGTATAATTCTTCCTTTTTTTTATCCCCAATGTGAATAGTTCTTCGTCTGAATTTCTCCACCTGCCAGTAATCACCTGTTCCTACTGCATGAGGAAGGTGGGTCTGTGGAGCTTTCAGCAGATTGATGGTGTTTGCCCAGCCAGTGAGCCTGACATTCCCGTCTGCAGTACCTCCCCACATGAAAACAAGCCAGAAAGGTCAACACCAACTCCTCCTGCAATGTCTCCCCACAGGATGATCACTCGAAGTCAAGATGCTGCCCAGTCACAGAGCAGTGAGCAGGTGCAATGATCTTCCTCTGCCTTGTAGACTTAATTTCTTTATGTTTTTCTCAATTTACTACTCTTATAACATTAACTGGTCATCACCACACTGCTGGCACAGACTAGATGCCAGATTTGCCTGCACAATGTGCGCTACATACTGAAAATCATTGAGGCTGATGTACCTTGAAATAGTATCACACTGATGTGACATAAGGTGTGTGACTTCTATATGGTTTAATATAATTTACTTTAGAATTTTGATTTTGAACTAGTGGCATGTAGATTTTGGCTTGTGTGTTTGAAGGATTTTCACGATTAACTTGTCAGTATTTCTGGAGCAATGTTTTTTTCAAAAACCAGTATGACAGAGAGAGAGTGTGTTCCTGGAGTGAAAATGGGGATTTGTTTGCATGGTGAGAGTATTCATAAACATTGAAAGGCATTAGCTTGGTTTTGGTTCAGTAGAATGAGGAATTTATTTTTGTATGTGTTTAGGAGAAAACCAATAGATTAGAAAGCTTTAGGTGGCTCTTCACAGAAGTCCTGGTGGAAGTTAGATGTAACAAACCATTTCTCCTGAAGAAAGGCCATAGTTCCCAACAGTTAGGAAATAGATTACCTCAAGTGAATGTTCCAAACTAGTATGGTTTGATTTGGACCCTAAAGGAGTTATTTGAAGATGGGAAAGTCTAAGCTTAGCCTTTTTCTTGACACACAACTATCAAACTGTCATACCAGGAAGTTGAAGAAACAGTTAAATCAAACTTGTGGGTATCATTAGTCAAATTTATAGATGTGATAGAGAAGCGAACACTTTTTTTTTGAGCACTATAAAATGATGTGGTTAGGATAGATGGAATTGCATTTTTACTGTTTCAAAATCTTTTAAATTATGTTACGCGAGCAGCTTAGTTTATTCAATTTTATTTTAATGCCTTTTGTGTAAGAAACTTCCGTTATATTGTTAAAACCAAACCGTGAAAGACCACCTCAACAAATAAAAACAAAATAGTCATGTTATTGTCCAACATTTCAGTCTGGAATCTGACTAGTCCAGTTATAACATCAGTTGAGATGGTAAAATGTGGTCTTTTTGACTTTGTGTTTTTGTGTACCATTCAATTTCCATTTGATCCATGGACAGCATATAGTTTTCCCTGACACAGATTTTATTCAATTCACCAGCTTTAATTGCTTATATTTATGCAGCATTTAATATTGAAGTGTCTCAAAGCTTCACATGCAACCAGTTAGGTCACGTAGGTAAGCACAACAGCTAATCTATGACTGTTTCACATACAGCAATGAAATGAATGACCAACTTATCTATTTCTGTAGTGCACAAGTGTACATCCATACATGCATATCTGTTTATGGATGCATAAATATTCTGTGTGCACACAAACACAACACAAATATAAACCTGCAAATATGAATGTAGGACAATTACATGACTTGACTCACTGTTCTTGTCTCTAAACTGTAAGAGATGCCCTGGGAAAGGGTGGCATGGTAGCTCAGTGGTTAGCACTTCTACCTCTCAGTGACAGGGACCTGGGTTTAATTCCAGCCTCAGGTGACTGTGCGGAGTTTGCACGTTCTCCCCGTATCTGGGTGGGTTTCTCCTAGGTTCTCCGGTTTCATCCCGCAGTCCAAAGATGTGCATGCTTGGTGGATTAGCCATAGTAAATACAGGATTATGGGATAGGGTCTGGGTCTGGGTCTGGGTGTGATGCTCTTTGGAGGGTCAGTGCAGACTTGATGGGTCAAATAGCTTCTTTCCCCCTGTAGGGATTCTATGATTCTAACTTACTTTTCTAATCTAATCGACTTCAGAGATGTTACTATACACCTCTGAAGCAGGTGGGACTTGAACCCAGGTCTCTCGATCCAGGATCCACTGCACCACAAGAAGCCTCTTTCTATGATTCTAAAGGCAAAATAGACAAGTTCAAACACTTGGTTCTGGTGTTGCATTAATTTGAGCTTATGACCCTGATCCTCCATCTTATTTAATTGAAATAAACTATCTTTACAAACACAATATAGTCCCTTCAGTTTGTAAATGTCGATCCAGTCTTCCCTAAGCCTCCATTTCTCTGAAGTGTTCAGACCCAGCCCTTTGAACCTCCCTTGTCTACTAAGGTATTTTAAAGTAGATATTAATCTGTAGCCGTCCACTCTACCCTGTCCATAGTCTCATTATCAGTTGTTATGTGAATAGACAAAAACTGAGTACAGGATTTTAATTGAGATCTAACAATGATTATATACAAGTGTAAAGATGTATTCTTTGTCTTGTAATTGATTGTGCTATAAGTGCACCCTACTAACTGGCTATTTCTTCACAGCATTTTTGGTGGACTTTTAAACTTATACAATATGACATCTTTTTCTTCTTTTCCATAATGTGTCTATTTATGTAGGGGAGGTGATGGCCTACTGGTATTATCACTAGACCATTAATCCAGAGATTCAGATAGTGTGATGGAGAGCTGGGTTCGAATCCCTGCATGGCAGATGGTGGAATTTAAATTCAATAAAAACCGGAATTAGAATTTGGAATCTGTAATTACATGCACCATGAAATCATTGTCAATTGGCACGAAATAAAAACATCTGGTTCACTATTGTCCCTTAGGGAAGGAAACTGCCATCCTTTACCATGTACAGCTTTGATCTCCTTACTTGAGAAAGGATGCACTGGCACTGGAGGGGGCGCAAAGGAGGTTCACTAGGTTGATTCCAGAGTTGAGAGGTTTGGTTTATGAGGAGAAATTGAGTCGACTGGGACTATACTCACTTGAATTTAGAAGAATGAGGGGGGATCTTGTCGAAACATAAAATTATCAAGGGAATAAATAAGATAGAAGCAGGGAAGTTGTTTCCACTGACAGGTGAAACTAGAACTAAGGGGCATGGCCTCAAAATAAGAGGGGAGCTTTTGTAGGACTGCGTTGAGGAGGAACTTCTTCACCCCAAAGGTTGTGAATCTGTAGAATTCCCTGCCCAGTCAAGCAGTTGAGGCTACCTCGTTGATTATTTTTAAGGCAAAAATAGATATATTTTTGAACATTAAAGGAATTAAGAGTTATGGTGAGCAGGTGAATAAGTGGAGCTGAGTCCATGAAAAGATCCGCCATGATCTTATCGAATGGTGGAGCAGGCTCGATGGGCCAGATGGCCTACTCCTGCTCCTATTTCTTATGCACTTATGTGTTTACCTGGTCTGGTCTACATGTGACTCCAAATCCACAGTAACGTGTCATAGACTTGTATAGCATGGAAACAGACCCTACGGTCCAACTTGTCCGTACCAACCAGATATCCTAAATTAATCTAGTCTCATTTGCCAGCATTTGGCCCATATCTGTCTAAGCCCTTTCTATTCATGTACCCATCCAGATGCCTTTTAAATATTGTAATTGTACCAGCCTCCATCACTTTCTTTGGCAGCTCATTCCATACATGCACTACCCTCTGCATGAAAAAGTTGCCCCTTGGGTCCTTTTTATATTTTTCCCCTCTCAAATGTAGTTTTGGACTCCCCTACCTTGGGAAAAAGACCTTCACTATTCAACCTATCCATTACCCTCATGATTTTATAAACGTCTATAAGGTCACCCCTCAGCCCCAACCTATTCAGCCTCTCCCTGTAGCTCAAACCCTCCAACCCTGGCAACATCCTTGTAAATCTTTTCTGCACCATTTCAAGTTTAGCAATATCTTTCCTGTAGCAGGCAGACCGGAATTGAACGCAATATGTCAAAAATGGCCTAACCAATGTCAGGGCAACATGACCTCCCAACTCCTATACTCGAATATTCTAACCAGTAGTGGCAAGTGTACCAAACACCTTCTTCACTACCCTGTCTACCTGCAACTCCACCCTCAAGGAACTATGAACCTGTTACCAAAGGTCTCTTTATTCGGCAACACTCCCCAGGACCCTACCATTAAGTGTATAAGTCCTGCCCTGATTTGCCTCTCCAAAATGCAACACCTCACGTTTATCTAAATTAAAATCCATCAGCCCCTCTTCGGCCCAACAACCCATCTGATCAAGGTCCCATTGGTACTCTGAGATAATCTTCATCACTGTCCACTACACCAACAATTTTGGTGTCATCTGCGAACATATTAACCATTCCTCCTGTGTTCACTTCCAAATCATTTACATAAATGACAAAAATCAGTGGACCCAGCACCAATCCTTGCAGCACACCACTGGTTGCAACCTCTGGTCCGAAAAACAAATCTCCACCACCACCATCTGTCTCCTACCTCGAAACAAATTTTGTATCCAATTGGCTGGCGCCCCCTGGATTCCATGTGATGTAACCTTGCTAACCAGTCTGCCATGTGGAACCTTGTCGAAGACCTTGCTGATGTCCATATAGACAATGTTCACTGCACTACCTTCATCAATCTTCTTTGTCACGTCTTCAAAACTCTCAATCAAGTTAGTGAGACCCCATTTCCCAAGCACAAAGCCATGTTGACTATCCCTAATCATTTCTTGCCTTTCCAAATTCATGTAAATGCTGTCCCTCAGAATCTCTTAACAACTTACCCACCACGTCAGGCTCACCGGTCTTTTCCTTACCACCTTCCTTAGATAGTGGCACCACATTAGCCACCCTCCTGTCTTCCAGCACCTCACCCGTGGCTATCAATGATGCAAATATCTCAGCAAGAGGCCCAGCAATCACTTCCCTAGTTTCCCACAGAGTTCTAGAGTACACCTGATCAGGTCCTGGGGATTTATCCACCTGAATGCATTTTAAGACATTCAACACCACTTCCTCTGTAATATGGACACTTTTGAAGATATCACTGTTTATTTCTCCAAGTTCTGTAGCTTTCATATCCTTTTCCGCAATTAATACTGATGCAAAATACTCATTTAATATTTTGCCCATCTCTTGCCTTTCCACACTTAGACTTACCGAACATTAAGGGGCCCTGTTTTCTCCCTCGTTACTCTTTTGCCCTTAATGTATTTGTAGGATTTCTTTGAATTCTCCTGAACCCTTTTCGCCCTCCTGATTTCCCTCTTGAATATGCTCCTACTGCCCTTATACTCCTTGAGGGATTCACTCGATCCCAACTGTCTATACCTGCCATATGCCTCCTTTTTTTTTCTTGACCACAGCCTCAGTTTCTCTAGTTATCCAGCATTCCTTGCACCTACCACTCTTGCCCTTCATACCAACAGGAACATACTGACTCTGGACTCTCGTTATCTCATTTTTGCAGGTTTCCCACTTTCCAACCATCTCTTTACTTGTGAATAACCTCTTCCAATCAGTTTTTGAAAGTTCTTGCCTAATACCATCAAAATTGGCTGGTTGACTCTCATGTGCCCTCTGGGCGATTTGGGGTGGGTATTGACGCTGCCTAGCCAGTGATGCCCACATCCTGTGAATGAGTAATAATTAACAAATGTTCAGTGTTCACCCCACCCTCTTGAATGACACTGCACTTTGCTCAATTAAAAGTCATCTGTCCAGTCTAATCTGGTAATTTAGGTTTGCTTGCAGTATTCAAGCATTGTCACACAGACACATTCTCATGATAGGTTTGAATCCTTCCTAAGTTAGAAGACTTTACTAAAACTATTTTTACTTTACTTAGCATGAAACCAGCCCTTCGCCCATTGGGGCTCGCACACGGAGTCGAGATGTCCACAGTCCTACTCAAGTTGATCGAGGCGAGTCAGACTCTATTAGTTTACATTTGCGGAACAAGCGACCAGTGACCCGCAGCATGGGACAGGGGGACATGCCTTCCAGCCCTCAGCGGAAACCGAAGAGAATGCGTTTGTCCTCGTCCACTAGCTCAGTAAGTAATGAACACACCATGAGGAAAATTGCAGAACAATATTGTGAAACTGAAATTTTAAACTGACAATCCGATACCACTCAGATCCACAGTGTAGTACGTGTGCTATATCAGAATCAACTTCACGCAACAGTCCCAGTCCAGAGTCAGAAACTTCAAAGATTAGCCAATTGTGTGTCTGCAACTTTCATTGGTGCCTTCAACTGCCTAGACCCCTAGGAGCTGCAAGGTCCTCATGAAATATTTTGGCCTCGAGCTCTCTCCTCATTTATGACTCTTCTTGAATGAATGTGTGGGCATCATTGGCTGAGTCGAAATTCTCAGGTGCCTTCCTTGCCACCTTGGTAGTTTACGAAACAAGGGCTTGGGTCCAGTTGGCCCTTCGCGGTGCTATTAGCATGCTTCTGTCTATGTTGCCAAATACAAGCATCAGGCAGGGGCAGGAAGATCCAACGTGATTACTTTCCATATTTGTAAATTACAGAACATGGTTTTGAACTTTCAACTTTGAAGTGCTATCCTTCTCACTCTGTGCCTCTGGCCTCCTAATGAGCTAGGTGCCGTCAAGTCTATGTAGCATTCTTCTAACAAGGCAAGTTCACTGGAGGTGGAAACATTGATTTGTTCTGAAGCAATGAAGCTGTCAGTACCTGGCTAGGTAGTTCCAGGCCTGTCTGGTTTTGGTGGGAAGTTGATCGTCCAAGGACAGGCTGCATGAATACTGTCTGTTCCGGCCCAGTTTTTGCATAATTACAGAATCCAACTTGGTTTAAACTGGCTTCCATATTGAGTTTTTAATCCATGCTCATGAAAAAAAAAAATCAATATTTCTTTCGAAGCCCTGGAGTTTATGGCTCACCTGTCCACAGGTTCAGTGTTGTATTTTGTTTGATGCTTTTATGAAGTGCCTTGAGACTTCTTACTGTGCTAAAGATGCTACATAAATGCAACTTCTTGTGAGTTCATCCTTCTACAATCTGGGTTGACATTGCACTGTCGCAGGTGCCATCTGTCAGTTGAGACACTGGACAGATGCCTTCCGCCTGTTCCCATAAAACTGTCAGGATTCGCATCACGTTTTCAGGATGTACCAAAGCCATTCATTGCCAGTGACTGACTTCATCCCCCCGAAGCCATGTATTGAGCAAATGGAAATAGTTTCAGAAATTTTCTAATCAACCTGTTCAGGGATGTTATTACACACCTTTGGAGCAGGTGGAACTTGAACCTGGGCCTCCCTGGCTCAGAGGCAGGGACACTACTACGGTGCCACAAAAGCTCCTGAAATAGTTTCATTTTGTGTTGATCGATATAAATACAGCAGTGGAAAACCAGACATGTTTAAATTTGATGAGCCGTTCACAATTCTGCAAGTGTTCCTGGATTTTTCCTAGCAAGTAGGTGACTGTTGTTAGGACCCCTCTTGTGGCGCAGTGGTAGTGTCTCTACCCCTGAACCGAGAGGCCCAGTTCAAGTCCCACCTGCTCTAGAGTGTGTGTAATAACATCTCTGAACAGGTCAATTAGGAAAAAAATGTCAACTGTTGTTGCTGGAGCTTGGTCTCTGGTTTCTGCTGAGTTATTTGATCTCACCTGGGGAAACAGTGAAGAGGTTTTGATTGGCCTTAGTACACTGTGAATTATGGGTGGAAGGGATGGGGCAGAGAAGTTAAAATTGGACAAAGGTGCTGCTTTTGATGCCCACCCCTTCATGCCTAACATTTGTCATTAAAATGATAAACAGTATTTAAAAGCATACATACTGAGAGAATATTTCCTTCAGTGGGGAAATTAGAAACCAAATATAACCTTAAACTCAACTCCAGGTTGTTTAGGATAGTGTTTTTCATTACGCTGTAGTGGGAATCTAGAAATCTGTTTCCTCAAAAAGCTGTGGTTGCTGGAGACAGCTGGAGCTTTCAGGAATCAGGCTCAGATTTTTGTTGGCTAGGGATATCAAAGATGTAGAGCAAAGCCAGGAAAACAGCGTTCCAGTACATGTCAGACTTTTCTTCCTGTTTGTTGGGATCACAATCCTAGAATGCCCTTCCGAGCAGGACTCTGGGGTGTACCCACACCAGATGGACTGCAGGGCAGCAGTTCAAGAAGGTGGCTGTCCAACACCTTCGAGGGTACTTAAGGACAGGCAACAGTTGCTGGCCTTGCCAGTGCAGCTCACATCCCACGAATGAATCAGAAGTAAAGTTCTAATTGACTGGTGGAGAGACTGAATAGCCATTTCCTGTTCCTGCCCGCTGAGTGGAGTCACACAAGGAGAATAAACATTTGAGATGCACTGGAGGGCGGCTGGTATCTTGAAACTAACACTACCTTCAGAAAAGATTGGCACAAATAAGTGATTGGAAAGCTAGATTGGTTAATTCTGATATTTTGGGAGTGGTGTCTTCAGGATGGTTTTGTTCAGCTGCATTATTTTGTCTAATAGGATAGTACTCGGGGATACTTTAACCCTGTCTCCCAGCACAGGGATTGGTGTCCATGGGTTAGGAAGACACTGGAACTAGAAGATAAACCACATGACCCGGAGCTGGAAGAGCAGACCCCAGTGCCTGGCTTAGCTGAGAAGACGGAACTAGGATGGAAGGAGTCTCTTCGGGTGCTCTTGTCACTAAACACTGCCCGGACCCCAAATGAGTGCTCAGACAGTGTTGTAAGTAGTGAGTTTTAACAAGTCAACTTCTCCCTGTAGTTATTGATTCACATTCCCCCTTTCCCAAGGAGGTGGATACTGCGTAGAATACAGTTCCAGAGCTGCAGCTTTTTCCATTCCTGCCTTGGCTTACCGACTTTGAGAGGCTGGACAACTGCGAGACAATTCAAATGCCATATGTATTCTAGCTGGGGAGTGCAGGTGGCATGGTGACTCAGTGGTTAAAACAGCTGCTTCAGTGCAAGGGACCCAGGTTCGATTGCAGCCTTGGATGACTGTCTGTGTGGAGTTTGCACATTCTCCCCGTGTCTGCGTGGGTTTCCTTGGGTGTGCCGATTTTCTCCCACAGTCCAAAGATTTGCAGGTTATCGGATTGGCTATGCTAAAAGTTGTCCACAGTGTGCAGGCTACGTGGATTGGCCTTGGGAAATGCAGGGTTACAAGGAAAGGGTAGGAGGTGGGTCTGGGTGGACTGGCTGTTTGGAGGGTTGGTGGACTCGATGGGCTGAATGGCCTGCTTCCACACTGTAGGGTTTCTGTGAATTTCTATGAATGAATTCTGATGCCTGGCTATGTGACCATAGAAGGCATCTATGCAATGAATGAGGTTAGGAGAGAAAAATCTGTTTTAAACTGGAGCTACTGAAATTTTGTGCCAAGAAGCCAGTACCATGCTAGCCTCAGGTCAATTATATTGACAGCATGTACAATCGGAGTTATTTTTTAATTCTTTGAAAACTTCAGTTAGGACACTAAGGATCCATAAGATTCTCGAACACAGACTGCATTTAACCAGAATGCTGTGGACTGCTGCAAATTGCAGGAGGAAAAATGCCCATCTTGTTATTTGATTTGGTTGCTTTCCCAGTCCTGGGGGCTTCAAAAATTTTTTCTGTTGTCATTTTGATTAGCGGTCAGACAGAAAGCTTTTTGTGCCCTACATTTGCCCCTCAGGCTGCTATGATTTAAATTGGTTCAGCATCAAGCCAAAAGTTTTACCCCAATGGATGCATGGTATGTAGGGCTGGGTCTTGCTGTTTCTGAAGTTCAAAACTTCAGAAATTTCACAGGCAGACATCCCAGCAAGCACAGCCACTGACGAAGTGAAGAAGTACTCTCCCCCTTCTCCAGCTACCTGCTCCTTTCCACACAGTGAGCGGTAAGAGATATGCTATAAAACTCTGTGCTTTTCCATCACATAATTATTGATTTATAGGCAGTGTGCTTGAGAGTAACAGTGAAATGCTGTATATCCTGTTTATGCTCATGTTGAACAGGCCACGTACATGATCCTTTGTTGTCAGTCTCTTTCAGAAAAGTCCAACAAGGTGTTCCGAATATTCCGACAGTGGCAGGTCCCATGTTCTTCATAAAGTTGTTTGTTGAATGGGATGAAGAAGCAATTGGTACTGAATTAAGTGATTATGATAGGAAATGGATTTTGAACTTCATCGTGACAGATTTTTTCCATATGTTTTGCTACTTTGTTTGAAAAACACAAAAGCATGGAGCTGGTCTGTGTTAAGCCTATCCCATACCAGGTGGAAGCCATCAGGATGGTTCTACCATTAATGATCTTATCTCACTTCACAGATGTATTTAACATGTTAAAATATCGCAAAGGCTTTGAACAAATGTGAATAAAATGTTTTGATAGTTTCTGCTTTTTTGACTTTTTGTTTTGACCTCCTGGCTGTTTTTAGTGTCTTAGTAAATGTTTAATTCTGCTTCTGTCGTACTGAAATGTTTTGGTGGTGTCTTATGGAGGGAGGGGTACAGTACTGTCATCAGTCTCTGGTTGGAGAAATGGAGAGGAAGCCATTCAGCTCCTTCCGTCACCCCGGAGTCTGTTCTACCATTCAGCAAGATCGTGGCTGCAGAAGCGGGGCATTGGTAGCTGAAGGAGTTTACAGACTCAGGCCATGATTCCTAAGAGCTGATGTGTGAAGGAGCGGGTAGGCAACATGCAACAGGCCTGTGTGGGAATATTGAGAAGTGTGTGCTGACACATGGCTGGGGAGGACAGGATGCTTCGAGATAACTGCAGGATAAAAGCATGGACTTCGAATTTGCAGTGATGCAGCCAGAGTTATTCAATGAGAAGAAGTGAGGAGTGAGCAGCTGCAAATGCAGAGAGGGATGTAGGCAATGGATTTATAAGGATAGCATTGAAAATTTTTTGGTGAAATATTAAAGATGACATGAGGTTGCCAGGGTTCCTGAAAATAAATTCAAGCCCAAATACCCATTTTAAGGCATGAATAATAAAAAATTGAATGCTACTAAAGGTTAATTTCCCAATTAAAATTCTGTTCCTAATGTTTATAATGTTCTCTGTGCCCTGATGATGCAAGGCAGAAGGCATATCGAGGATACTCACTTTAGAGCGACTGACACAAACAAGGCTAGAGAATGGAGGTTGACAGCTAGATAGACCTTCTTCCATCTTTCCTTGGCAATTATCCCACTAGGCTAGGATTGTATACTTTGTGTATTGTTCGTGTTGGAAGGTCATTGAAGGGGTTATGCAAGAAATGGAGCCTGGAAAAGGTTGGAGATCCAATTTGATGAGATTGCAATAATTTCATGAATGCACGAAATGTACTTATCACTAACAACAGTGGCCACATATATCATAAGATGAAACTGAAGAAGGAGGCTAGTCCATCCATTGTGTTTCTGCAAGTTCTTGGGTAGAATTATCCATTTCTACTTTCTCCCCCAAGACTCCCTCTAAATGTTTTTCCTTTTAAGTACGTAACCAATTGTCCTTTGAATGTTAGTAGTAAGTCTCCTTCCATTACTGTTTCAGACAGTGCATTCAAGATCATCATAATTTTCTGCACACAAAGCATTTTCCTTGTGTCGTCCCTGGTTATTTTGCCAATTAAATCTGCATCTTTTGGTTATCAGCACTTACACCACCCAAAGCCATTTCTCTTTATTTACCACAATCTATCATAGTTTTGAACACTTTGATTAAATCTCCTCTTGACAGTTTCCACTCTGAATTTAATAATCCTATTGCCTCTATTTCAATTGCCTCCGCTTTTCCATCATCCATCAAATCTAATGAAATTTAACAGTTGCTGCCTGAACAACTGATACTGGGTTGGAATTCCACAGCTTCAGAACTCCTCTTTGTGAAGGAGGTTTCTTCTGCTCCGAGCAGTTGCTGCTCTGCACTCCCCTCCTGTGGTGCAAACTTCACACAGCATCAAATTGAACCAGAACCATATGAAACAATTTTAAACCAAGACAACACAAATTTGTAACAGAAAACCTGAATCTATTGACAGAAATAGTTCAAGTTGGAAGGTTCAACTTGGGTTCATAGACTGTTTTTACAATGTCCTTTGAACCACTCGTAATTCATTGGAGTGTTTCAGTGTTGAGGATTGGTTACATAATCAAGTCACGAGAGAGCCCTCAATGCCATAATAGGAGCCAGAACTCCTGCTGCCCTCCTCACATATCTTTTATTTATAGAGGACTCCAGAGCTGTGTGCTGATGTCAAACAAAAGTTATCACTTGGACAGTTTACCCTTCTCCAATCCCTTCCTGCTTAGAGACCTCACAATATACACACTCGAGGCTTAACCAGTTTTCTAAATAGGGTGGTGCCTGAATTGGTGAATAATTGTGCTGTAGTTGAAAACATCCATTGATAGAAAGGAGATACTCATGACCTTCTCACCTTAACCGCTCCCCTAAGATCTGCCTGATGTGCCTATGTGTGGACTATTCATAACACTGGTAGTGGCATAAGATACATTTAAGAGGCATCTAAGTGTAGGGATTGGGGTTTAGACTTTATGCAATATCAAGTAACAGCCTATAGAGATGTGAAATCAGAGATACTATGAGACAGAGAAAAAATAATAAATGGAATGATATTCTAGTGATATAATCAGTTATGTAAGTAACTCTACAATGTGACTTGTTGAAAGTATGAGGAAAATAATATTAAGTTGCCTCATGACTTCATCATTATCAATCAGCTCATTGAAGATACTTCACTTATTTTTACACAGATTCAATAACATGATGTGAAGATTGAAATGTGAAATCAAAATATTATTAAAATAGCAGTGTTTTATTTTGCAGGGGCATGTGATTTAGGACAAAGAACAGGAGAAACTTCTCCACAATAAGGAGTTTCAAGCCTTTAGAATGTCCAGTGGTTGAGGCAGAAATTATCAACATTCGTACTTCAATGGACGAGGGGAAAAGGGTCAAGGGATAGGGAACTGTCAGGTAAACTTGATTAGAGCTGTTTGACCATGTTGGAGGACAAACATTGACATTAACTGGTTGCGATGAATGAATTGTATCTGTACTTAGATTTCTATACATTTCTATTCATAAATAAAGGACTGCAGAAATCAAGCCAGTAAGCTAAAAAACAGAAACAAATGAATTCAATCCCATGTTCTGATTTATAGGCACCCAGTGAGAGGAGGGGTGGGTAGGTCAGGGGGCCTCCTCTTAGGTTTGCTCCTGGGTCTGGCCAAAATGACTATTAACAGGTCAATGGCATGGAGCGGGGGGGTCACTGTACTTGACTGCCTGCCCTGTTTTCGTGGTTATGTCTGGCCCTGGGTATCCCTGGAGAGGGAGCATGTGGTGTTCACCAGCACAATAGAAGCCGCAGAGACTGGTTGACATTGCAGGGGCTGGAGTGCATCATCACCCAGGACAATGATATTTTGATTTCATAAGTTTCCATTCACCTCACAGAAGTTTCCATTAATCATGGATTTGTATTTTTGTTACAGTGCCCCATTAAAGGGGCTGTTTAACCTGATTTTACTTTTATTTTAAAAGAATAGAAACAAGGGAATATAATAAATGGCATCCTGAAGTTTGAATGCGAATAATGATATGTAAATAGAAGAAAATGGAAGCTAAGTCAGTCATGATACCACTAGAACTTTATCCAACAGTAAATATTAGGCCATTCATTCATTCATTCCACAATGAACACCAGGGAAGGAGATCAAAAAGAAATATGCAGAACAACAGATTCAATCAATTAATACTTTAAAGTCTTGACTAAGTGGACAGTCTGTTTTTGGTCTCAGAGTCAGATTCCACCCCATAACTGCAAATAAGGTAATAAGCCATCACCTTAATTATTGCAGGAGATTGGTAATGGAAGGTGTCATCAACAGTGCTAAGAGGCACCTGCTCAGCAATAACCCGCTCAGTGACGCCCAGTTTGGGTTCAGCCAGGGCCACTCAGCTCCTGACCTCTTTACGGCCTTGGTTCAAACATGGACAAAAGAACTGAATTCCAGAGGAGAGCTGAAAGTGACACCTTTGACATTGAGGCTCTATTAGGTAGAGTGTGGCATTAAGGAGCCCTAGCAAAACTGGAATCAGTGGGTATTGGGGGCATCTCTGTACAGGTTGGCATCATATCTGGCACATAGGAAGATGGTTGTGGTAATTGGAAATCAGTCATCTCAGCTTAAGGACATCTCTGCAGGAGTTCCTCAGGGTAGTGTCCTAGGCCAACCATTTTCAGCTGCTTCCCTCCATCATAAGGTCAGAAGTGGGGATGTTCACCGATGATTGCACAATGTTCAGCACCTTTTGCGACTCCTTGGATACCGAAGCAGTCCATGTTCAAATGCAATGACACCTGGTCAGTATTTAGGCTTGGCTGGCAAGTAACATTTGTGCCATGCAAATGCCAGGCAATGATCATCTCCAATAAGGGAAGATCAAACCACCACCTCATGACATTTCATAGTGTTACCAACACCAAATCTCCCATTTCAACATCCTGGGGGTTATCATTGACCAGAAACTCAACTGGTATCACCACATAAACACAGCAGCTACAAGAGCAGGTCAGAAGCTAGGAATACTGTGTTGAGTAACTCACCTCCTGACACCCCAAATCCTGTCCACCTACTACCAGGCACATGTCAGGAGTGTGATGGAATACTCCACACCTGCCTGGATGAGTGCAGATCCAACAGCACTCATGAAGCTTGAATTGGGGTGGCACGGTGGCTCAGTGGTTAGCACTGCTGCCTCACAGCGCCATGGACGAGGGTTCGATTCCACCCTTGGGCGACTGTCTGTGTGGAGTTTACACATTCTCCCCGTGTCTGCGTGGTTTTCCTCCGGGTGCTCTGGTTTCCTCCCACAGTCCAAAGATGTGTGGGTTAGGTGCATTGGCCATGCTGAATTGCCCATAGTGTTCAAGGAGGTGTAGCATAAGGGGATGGGTCTGGACGGGATGCTCCAAAGGTCGGTGTGGACTTGTTGGGCTGAAAGGCCTGTTTCCACACTCTAGGGATTCTATTCTATTCTATCATCTAGGATAACACAGCCCACTTGATTGGCACCACATCTACTCCCTCTACCACCAACACTCAGTAGCAACAGTATGTGCTATCTACGAGATGCACTGCAGAAATTCATCAACAATGCTTAGACAGCACTTTCCAAGCCCACGACTACTTCCATGTAGAAGGACAAGGGCAGCAGGTTCATCAGAACACTACCACCCACATGTTCCCCTCCAAGACATTCACCATCCTGACTTGGAAATGTATCACCATTCTTTCATTGTTCCTGGGTCAAAATCCTGGAATTCCCTCCCTTAAGGGCATTGAGTCAACCTACAGCACATGGACTGCAG